AATTTGCATATGTCAGCAATATGCAAATTAGGTAAAGGCATTGATTAAGCATGCGAAAGGCCGATTTTTTAGGATAAAATGAATAGCTAAAGGGCTTAAACTAAAGCAAATTGTCTGCAATTTTGTACAGTAATTAAAAACCCAACAAATTTTCCGTCTATTAACTCAAAATATGATTAATTTGAAGCTTTTCAATTTCGTGCGCAAGCCATTTTTAGTTTGTTGGAAAAGATACCCCCTCCCTGGTTGACAAAATTTGAGTTGGAGAATTTTTTTCCATTATTCTACATTATAGTACCCAAAGAAGTTATATACATCAAAAACTGGATACTAATAGCTGTTTTGCGAAATTAAATCTAATATTTATGAAATCTGCCGTGTTGGTGTAATGTACTCAGGTGAATAAGATGTTTGTGTGATGTTACTCTGAGTGTATATCCACACCGGGCAGGCTTGAAAAATATGCCTGGCCATGGCGGGATTCGAACCTACGACCTTTGGAATACTAGCCCAATGCTCTTCCAACTGAGCCACGCGGTCAGGACGGTTCGAGTAAGCGATATTTCGGAACTGAGTCTAGTTCCTTCGATATCAGTGTAATCTAATATTTATGAAATCTGCTGTGTTGGTGTAATGTACTCAGGTGAATAAGATGTTTGTGTGATGTTACTCTGAGTGTATATCCACACCGGGCAGGCTTGAAAAATATGCCTGGCCACGGCGGGATTCGAACCTACGACCTTTGGAATACCAGCCCAATGCTCTTCCAACTGAGCTACGCGGTCAGGACGGTTCGAGTATGCGATATTTCGGAACTGAGTCTAGTTCCTTCGATATCAGTGTAATCTAATAATCATGAAATCTGCTGTGCTGGTGTAATGTACTCAGGTGAATAAGATGTTTGTGTGATGTTACTCTGAGTGTATATCCACACCGGGCAGGCTTGAAAAATATGCCTGGCCACGGCGGGATTCGAGCCTACGACCTTTGGGATACTAGCCCAATGCTCTTCCAACTGAGCTATGCGGTCAGGACGGTTCGAGTAAGCGATATTTCGGAACTGAGTCTAGTTCCTTCGATATCAGTGTAATCTAATATTTATGAAATCTGCTGTGTTGGTGTAAAGTACTCAGGTGAATAAGATGTTTGTGTGATGTTACTCTGAGTGTATATCCACACCGGGCAGGCTTGAAAAATATGCCTGGCCACGGCGGGATTCGAACCTACGACCTTTGGAATACTAGCCCAAATGCTCTTCCAACTGAGCTACACGGTCAGGACGGTTCGAGTAAGCGATATTTCGGAACTTTTTTCAAGCCTGCCCGGTGTGGATATACACTCAGAGTAACATCACACAAACATCTTATTCACCTGAGTACATTACACCAACACAGCAGATTTCATAAATATTAGATTACACTGATATCAAAGGAACTAGACTCAGTTCCGAAATATCGCTTACTCGAACCGTCCTGACCGCGTAGCTCAGTTGGAAGAGCATTGGGCTAGTATTCCAAAGGTCATAGGTTCGAATCCCGCCGTGGCCAGGCATATTTTTCAAGCCTGCCCGGTGTGGATATACACTCAGAGTAACATCGCACAAACATCTTATTCATCTGAGTACATTACACCAACACAGCAGATTTCATAAATATTAGATTTCACTGATATCAAAGGAACTAGACTCAGTTCCGAAATATCGCTTACTCGAACCGTCCTGACCGCATAGCTGAGTTGGAAGAGCATTGGGCTAGTATTCCAAAGGTCGTAGGTTCGAATCCCGCCGTGGCCAGGCATATTTTTCAAGCCTGCCCGGTGTGGATATACACTCAGAGTAACATCACACAAACATCTTATTCACCTGAGTACATTACACCAACACAGCAGATTTCATATGACCATCTACGACTATATGAACCAATTATAAAAAAAATCAAATGCTCCAGAATTTGTCACCATTCTGAGCCATACTTGCTACAGTATAGATGGATAATGCATTTAACTATCTAAATCAAATCAAACCCATACGAGTCTTGAATAGCCGAAACGATCATTTCTTTCATTGCTATTTCATCCCTGATGTGCACCAGCAGTTTCATGGTTATGTCACACGTTGATACTGTTGGTCTGCAGGCACATCCCTCTTGGCAACCATGGACAAATGCGACAGAAAACAGTTTGGGAAAGCCAAGTGGTGGTATTTCATAGGATCCTGTTAACCACTTTAAGAAATCTTTCAGCTGCAATGCAGTACCTAAACAAATTACAAAGCATAATTGTGTGTGTATATTAAAGATTAATTTAATCTATAGATTTTTGTTAAAAGTGTTTAAATACATGACGGGAAACTCGTCTGTTCGTCTGTCAAAAACTGTCTGAATATGAATTTAACTCATTAAGTCTCATTGCGCCCGCATGCGCCCTGGAATTGGGAACGGGGTAAGTCTCATTGCGCCCTCATGCGCCCTGGATGACACGTCAACTTCCGGGCACGATTGTCTAGCGCGTGTTTATCGGGTTGCCTAGCAACGGTCACGAGTATAAAGTGCAAAATTCGGGCTTTCAAACGATACATCATGCGAGAAAATTGATCAAAAGTTTGCGAAGATTTTCGACTTTAAAACTCTATTTTTTTACAAAACCTGCGACAACCGCAAAGTGTCACAAGATAGGACTTTGCAGCAAGTTTTAAGGATGAAAAAGAAGAGGTTTTTAAAGTGTTTTACATATAAAATATATTGTAAAACATAACGGAGTGTGCATATGTTTCAAGTCAAGTTCTTGTCCAAATCAAGTCGCGCGATTTTCAGCCAGAAAAACAGCAATTTCTTTCAATCTAACGGAAAAGTGAAGTGGGAAATCGCAAGAAACATTAACACTAAATCCAAGTGAGTAGTTACGATTTTTTTTAGCGTGTTTTTGAATGAAAATACCTGGCATGTTTTCATGAAATACGATATAGCATTAAAGCAAGTTCAATCTAGTTTAAAACTAAGTTTTTAGAAGAACTTTTCGTGCATTTTATGGCATGATTTCGACTGTTTTCGTGACCCTACTGTTGGTCGTCTTGCTCAAGTTGTTATTTTAGCCGAAGTACTTTCCGAAGACAGTAGGTTCAACTTGTCATGTGCGTATATACATTTTTGGCAAGAAAAATTTCGAGTAAAACCGCATTAAAACTAAGTAGGATACTCTACAATGAATACTATATCTGTTTCTACAAACTTTGTCTCGAAACGAGCTCTCATTTCAGAGATAATGTGGTTTAAAATCAGTGTATTGAATTATGGTGTTACTTGGCGCGTGCGAATTCTGAACCTTCATGACAGGGATTTGAAAAGCTTCTAAAATACACTTTATTGCTTCATATATCCCCATAAAATTTTTAAATCAATAAAGCACATCGTAAAACTAATGTACGCTCATTTTCTAAGAAGTACTCATCGATTACCTGAAGGAAAAGTTTAAAATAGGTCAGGAGAGTAGTTTACAAAATGCCGTTCTCCTCTGAAATGGCTTCTTGCGGGCAGCCATTAAATTTATGTACTTTCCAAAATTGTAATTTAGTCGCTTTTTTGGTCTCATTGTTCACTTATTTATCATGGAATTACTTCGCTTTGAGCTCTTTTAATAATATCTGCAAGATACTTTGCTATTTGGTGAAATAAAAGCTATATTTTTAGCAGTTTATCTTTTGAAAACTGCATGCACAACAAAGTGTCACCAATGTGTTTACTCTCGTCTGACAAACAACCAAAGATGAAATACTTTATTTCACTCTTTTATAGCAATCTAAAATGCCTAAATATTAGATTATTCATTTTATTCGAGCATACACATTATATTTTTATACAATTGGTCCTTGAAAAGGACTTATTTCAAACTAGAGTCAGATTTCAAAAGAAACCGCCTGTCTGACATTTTACAGCAACCTATATTGGCGCGCACAACGTTTTAGCCACAAATCCGTTGTTTTCTCAACAGAAACAAAAGGAATTTCAGTTAAAATTCTTACCTGATGAATATTCAAAAGTGTTTATCTCTTTTTGACGACTTTCAGTGCTCTTAATAGCGAAATAAAAAGCCTTTTGTTTTGTCACCACACGCTGCGTTTGAAAATGCCGGTTGTCAAAGTCAGAATTGAAAACACCTCAAATATTTTAAAATGTTCTCACCTTTTTCATCCTTTGGTTATATTTTAATTAGTAATTTTTGTACTTCGTGTTTTTCCAAACATATTTGAGCTATTTAAAAACTTCAAAGAGGTACAAACACTGTGTTTTTGGGTTACAGAGTTTTTGGGACTTGAACAACAAGTTCTGAAGTTCAAGTTCTCCATTGTAAACTAGATGTCCTGAGTGTGCCTGAGCTATGCCCAAGCAAATTTTTATAGCGTTTCATTATTTTGTAATTTATACCCTACAAGATGAAAACTAATTTGAAAATAAATGTGTACCAATCCAGGAATCAAAAAATATTTCTCCATTTATGTTGGGTTATTGACTTATTGCCCTTCAGATGTTGGGTGTCATGAAGAAACAAAATGTCAGACACTTAAATTTACACAAACCAAGAATTCTCACTCAAAAATCTAATGATATATTTTAGTGTGGGAGCTCATTTAAAATAGAATTGATTAATCATTTATCATTTTAACCCACTGCAAAATTTCAAGGTTTTTTATAACATTGATCTTGAGATATGGGTATTTTTGTAAAAGCAGTTGACAGAAGTTGACAGTAACTAAAATTCGCCATTTTCCTTGTAACTTGGGGAGTGCTAATGTTGCAACAGTCTGCAACTTAATGAGTTAAGGACGGATAATTTAGAATTTAAGACGAGTTTCCCGTCTAGATGGTTTTCCCGTCTAACTTTCCCATCCGTTTGGACGGGTAAGTTAGACGGAAAAGTTCGGACGGGAAACTCGTCTTCCCCCAGATTCATATTAGATGAGTTTTCTGTTTAATACGAGTTTCCCGTCTAAGACAAGTTTCCCGTCCCTAATATGAATTCGGCTATTCCTAGGGCCTTTTGTCCGCGCGCGTCCTCCCTAGGCTTCGAGTGACCGAGTGAAATGGCTCTGGGATCGAGAATGATGTCAACCATAGTAATTTGTCATTTGAAGTAGTTTCATTCCTCATGACACACATCCACATTAAACCAGCATACTCACAGGCGGCCCAATTTCGCAAGGGTCAGTTATAGATTTATAGTATAAATGTATATTATATTAATGTATATTATAGTAAAAATATGTTGTAAAATATAAATTTTAAAATGAAATTGACTTGCCTATTTGATAGTGTGTGTTCTCCCTTTATTCCTCCTTTGTTGGACTAATATTTTCCGAGACTTTGTACTCGATGTTACTAGTATACATGAAACATGATAAAGGCTAACGATTCCCGATCGTCGATACGACGGCACAGCACTTCGAATCGAAAATTCTCACACTCAAATCACTTTATTTTCAAAAAAAATTCGCCAGCATGTACAACAAACGCCGTTCTTCGAAAATACAGAGGCATTTCGGCGAGATGTACAAGTTTTGGACCATATTTTAACAATGGAAATCAAAACCCATTTTATATTGAACTTACCGGACCGAAAATTACTACGGTGAACGTCTGCGCAACCAGGCCTCCTTTACCGTTGGATATACAGGGGGAAGCAGATATTTCCGGTAACAGCCAGCCAATCGCGGCCGCGATAGCTACTGTTTACTTTATTTGAAATTTGATATTCAAAATAAAAACTCCTTCGATCGGATACCATATAAAACTCGAGATGTTGTCGAAGAAAAGAAAACTAAACGACGGAGATTGAAGAAATTTAAGGAAGAATAAATATACAGCGGCTCTTTGTTGGAAAGCATGGTAGAATATGATACTTTAATTCAAAATATTATCGTTAATATATTCGCGTTGACTCACAAGACCACATTTGAAAAGAAGTCACAACCAAATAATTTTGACAACAGACACACCGGCCAGAAAATATCCGCACGATAACCGGGGAAAATATGACCCCAGAGCATCACGCGACATGACTAATCTAAGTTGGCGACGACCGCCACAAAATTTCCAGCCGAATAAAACGTCGGAATTTCCGAACAAACGAAATAATTTTCCTTTCAGTACCATCACCTGTGACTATTGTAAGCGTAAGGGACACACAATGTCAGATTGCTACAGAAATCCACAAAATCAAACAAAACCAACCGGCATTGTTTCAACACCGGATAACAACACAACATCTGTTTTTGATAGTAATAATGCTAGTGATACTCAAGAGGATTTGATAGAGGTCAAAGCCAATGCTGACCCTATAATGAAAGTATTTGAACCATTTGTAAATGCGGCTAGTGTTTCACTTTTGAACAATCCAACACAACGTATTCCAGTTCAAGTATTACGCGATACTGGAGCGTCTCAATCTTTAATACTGACAAACACATTGCCATTTTCTGCGGAATCATATTCCGGAAACAATGTTTTGATAAAAGGAGTTCACTCCAGCGATTATAGTTCAGTTCCTTTGCACAACATTCGACTGCACTCAGATTTAGTCTCCGGAGATGTTTCGATAGGTATCATCGATACATTGCCTTTCGATGGAATACAATTGTTATTAGGCAACGATCTTGCGGGTGAAAAAGTGACAGTCAATCCAATAGTGACAAACAAACCAATGAAACCATGCTCAACATCAATTTCCGACGTCATTGAACAAGAAATTCCAAATTTATATCCATCGTGTGCGGTCACAAGAGCAATGGTAAAACAACAAGAATTAGAGAATAATAAAAGAGATGACCTTGATTCATCCTATGATTTGTCCGATACTTTTCTTACACAGTTATTTGATAGTGGCCCTAAAACAACACAGATTACGAAAAACGATGCGATAGACACAAAAAGCTTGTCAACATCTAATCTCATTCACGAGCAAAATAATGATCCCGAAATAGCTATTCTAATTCAACAAGCTTTCGATGAAAAAGAAATTTCAGACCAGGCAATGGGATACTTTATCAAAAACGATATTTTAATGCGGAAATGGCGACCACCTGATGTTAGTGTTGATGATGAATGGTCAGTTCGATACCAAATTGTTATCCCAAAACCTTAGGTTTAGCACACGAAACACCCCTTTCAGGACATCTGGGAATAAACAAAACCTATGAGAAAATCATACGACATTTTTATTGGCCTGGAGTTCGAAAAACCGTGGCAGAATTCTGTAAAACATGTCACACTTGTCAAGTAGTCGGCAAAGCAAATCAAGTTATCCCAAAAGCACCGCTAAAACCAATTCCGGCTTTTGAAGAACCATTTAGCCGTATTATGATTGATTGCGTCGGACCATTACCTAAAACTAAGCGAGGTAATCAATATTTATTGACAATTATGTGTGTTTCGACCCGTTTTCCTGAAGCAATACCACTTCGAAATATCAAGGCTAAAACCATTGTAGAAGCACTTACAAAGTTTTTCACTTTAGTTGGTCTTCCAAAATCCATCCAGTCTGACCAAGGTTCGAATTTCACGTCAGGGTTGTTTCAACAAATTATGCACGAACTAGGTATTAAACAATACAACTCGTCAGCTTATCATCCAGAAAGTCAAGGCGCTCTGGAAAGGTTTCACCAAACATTGAAGCAAATGATTAAGACATATTGTTTTGAAACTGAGAAAGATTGGGACGACGGCGTCCATTTCCTTTTGTTCGCGGCTCGTGAGTCAGTTCAAGAATCATTAGGGTTTAGTCCATTTGAGTTAGTTTTCGGTCACACGGTTCGGGGACCGCTCAAGCTTTTAAAGGAAAAGTTGCTTATCGACGACGGTGGTTCATTGAATATTTTACAGTATGTAACGGACTTTCGTACCAAATTAACTAAGGCTTGTGACCTAGCACGTAAGAACCTTAAAACAGCTCAAAATCGCATGAAGCACAGTTACGACAAAAACACCGTAACTCGGAATTTTCAGAACGGAGATAAGGTTATTGCACTTCTTCCGGTTCCTGGAAACCCCTTGCAAGCTAGGTATTTTGGGCCCTATGTTATAGAAAAGAAAGAGAATGATTTAAACTATATAATCATAACTCCAAATAGACGTCGAAAGAAACAGCTTTGCCATGTAAATATGCTTAAAGCGTATCACGAAAGAAAGAAAGTAGTACAGTCCGTAAATGTAGTGAGTTCAGATAGAGATAGGTATAGTAATGAGGATGAATCTGATCTCTCTAGTTTGTCTGAGACAACAAAATTGAGCAACTCCGACGTTTTACGAAATATGGATTCGAAGTTATCTCATGGCTGCGAAGGTTATATTGATGACGTGATCATTTATAGTGACACCTGGGAAGAGCATCTGGAAATATTACGAAAGTTTTTCAAACGGTTAAGCGAAGCCAAGTTAACCATAAATTTAGTCAAAAGTGAATTCGGTTGTGGTCATGTTACATACTTGGGCCATATCGTTGGCCAAGGCCAAGTAAAACCCGTCAACGCCAAAGTCGAGGCGATTGCAGATTTCCCACAGCCTACAACGAAAAAACACATCATGCGACTGCTCGGAATGGCGGGTTATTATCGTAAGTTTTGCCCAAACTTTTCATCAATCACGGAACCCTTGACGCAGTTGCTTCGCAAGGATATGAAATTTGTTTGGACAGAACAATGTCAGAAAGCATTCGAGAAACTCAAAGCTATGCTACAAAATGCCCCAGTTTTGTCGGCACCAGATTTCAACCGCCCCTTCAAGTTAGCGGTCGACGCGAGTGATGTTGCAGCCGGTGCAGTTTTACTACAAGAAGGTCAGTTTGGAGTTGATCACCCGGTATGTTATTTCTCTCGAAAGTTCAACAAACACCAGCGGAATTATTCTACGATCGAAAAAGAATGTCTTGCACTTGTTCTCGCGCTTCAGCATTTCGAAGTTTATGTTTCTTCAACTTCTGTTCCACTCCAGGTGTTTAGCGACCATAATCCTCTAATGTTTCTCCATAAAATGAAGAACAAGAACCAACGTTTACTGCGGTGGAGTCTCATTTTGTCAGAATATGACATGAAGATGGAACATATTAAAGGACAAGACAATTTACTCGCTGACTGTCTATCACGACCATGAACATGCAATTATACGAACACGTTATATATCTTGTACTTTCAAGAAAGTTCTGCAAACTTTCTTTCCTTTAAGGGGGAGGGTGTAACATGGCAGTGTTATACCATGTTATTTAATATATTCAATACTATATTCAATACTATATATTCAGTATACTGTTATAATTATAAGAGGAAGACCTTAGGCAACCTTCCTCGCATGAATAAGCAAATATTTAGAGAAATTAAAGAACCACGGGAAACGCCTAGTACCACAAACCACGCAAACAGGACATAGTTTTGTGGTTGATAAACACTGCTAGAACTTGCTTTGACAAACATATTGCGTAGAGGAAATTAGTCATAGTTACAGATTTCTTCCTCTAAAATTTATTATAAAAGCTGAGCACAACCTGAGAGTCGGGAGCGGAGAGTGAAGTGAGAAGAGCCATTTAGGCTAAAATACTTCATAAGCCAACAAAGGCTGAAGTATATAATTAAAAGACTAGATAATTAAGCCTCGTCAAGTAAACTGAAGAACATTGGAATATTGTGGAATAATTATTATTAAAGAAGACGGAATACAAAGTATAAAGAATAAAGATTCAAAGTTGTGCTCAGCTCAAACAAATAGAGAGATAAGTTGATATATTAAGATTACTATATTATTATAACATTATAGAGACGCTAATTCATATTGTTGAAAGTAAATAAAATATATAAAAGGTATAAGGTTTCATGCTATTTGTGTTACGGTAGCATTAATATAGTTTGAACCCGAAGCCTAAAGGTTGAAAATATACCTAATTGGAAAATATATTTGACGCATAAATAACGCATCATAACACTTGCAACTGATTGTTGACTGGCAACTGATCGATTCCTCCGAACCGTGCGATAAAAATTGTGATATCTTATGCTCCACAATAAAGACTGGTTATGACATCCTTATGCATGAAAACACGTTACATTCCACCGCAACGACAACCCAAGGATAACCGAAGAAATTGAAACACCTGATCAAGTTTCGACAACTTGTGTTTTCATCTAACAACACTACTGTTTTCAAATTCTACCGAAATAAAGTGAACAGAATGAGAAAATCTTGCCGGGCAGAATACTTTTTTTCAAAAGTTGCTAATCTGAAAAAGTCCAAGCCCAAATCTTGGTGGACAGAGGTTAAACATATCTCCGGTAATGGACTTGTATCTGGCAATTTGCTTAACCAACTTTATGTCGAAGATACAGAACATTTAACACACAAAGGTTTTGCAGATTTAATTAACAAAAGTCTAATGGAGCCATGATACTTATGACTATACAGTATATACATACTTATGATCCATTAAATCAGTTAAATGTCACAGATTTGAACACCTTGTTTGAGGAGATTCCTGATTATCCGTTAGAGGTAAACATGAATTTGACATATACTGCATCGGTCTTAAAAACTCAAAAGCTTGAACCCGTATAAAGCTCCAGGCCCTGTTGATATCCCAAATTGGATTCTTCGTGATTATACCGAAATTCTTGCCCCCTCTGTATCTGACATATTGAATTCGTCCTACAAGCAAAAAAGACTGCCCTCATGCTGGAAACAAACTAAAATTGTACTTATTCCAAAAGAAAAACCTGTTAAAGACCTAAGCAAACAGCTCTGACTTATCTCGTTTCTTTCTCCGGTTCTTTCTAAGCTTGCAGACGATTTTGTTGTTGAAAAATATATCGCTCCAGCAGTGTTGTCGTCAATTGATCCTTTTCAATTCGGTAGCATCCCTCGATAATCTGCGAGACTCTATGTCTGAATGGATTGACATTCCTTCCGGTGTCCCTCAAGGAACCAAATTGAGACCTTAGTTACTCATCCTTATGATAAACGACCTACGCCCCCCCCCCCCACATCATGAGCGATGGAAATACAGTACAGCATCGATGATGCTACGGTATCCGAAATTATTCACATTGGCACGCAATTCAGCCTTATTGACTGCTATGTGTTATTCTTATTAAACAATCTATCTATCTATCTATCTATCTATCTATCTATCTATCTATCTATCTATCTATCTATCTATCTATCTATCTATCTATCTATCTTAGTGTCAATGCTGTTTTTGAATCTAATCCTTATTTTGTGTCACTGGTCTTTGCGGTGGCATGGTGGAGTGTCCAAAGTGATGTTAAATAATCTCGGTTGACTAAGGAGTCTACGAATTATTATCCTTTATGATGTTTCTTGCTTAGCCAGGCGCATCTTAACTAGCTACCGATTCCATCCCTATCGGCGACGCTGACGCCGACGCATTTTTTTTCTGTAGACAGTCGGACTCCTCATTGATTGTCGGACGCATCATTGATCCGCGTCCAGCCCTCCGCGCGTTATCGATGAATCCCTTCGTACCATCCGTAACCCACTGGTGCACCATATATCCATCACGGATCTCCACGTTGTTCTTCTTCGACCACGTGTAGAAAGATGAACGGTTTGCCATATTAAACTACAAACTTGTATTTTCTGGTTCCGAAAATACTCAAGGACTGTTATTGCGAGTTAAAACTATATACATCATCCCAATTAAAGAGAACCAGGATAGGATAACTAGCGTGCAAGGAAATACTGGAAGATTCTAAGCGACCATTACGACCACTTTCCACTGCAAATAGAAGTAATGCAGAATACCCGTTCACTAGACATTAGTAATATCATATCATGTAACTCGGCCACTATTTCACAGGATACGTATATACCAGATCCTCTTGCCTCGTTCTAATATACAAAATATATTTGAAATCACCAATTCCGGGCTCAAGACACACTGGGAAGGCACATCTAATAAGAAGAGTTCCGCTGAATGTTTTGTTTAAGGGCACGGGTCAATGATGCGTCCGACTATCAACGATGAGTCCGACTGTCTACGGGAAAAAATTGCATCGGCGACGGCAAATATAATGTAGTATGGTAATATCTGGCAACATTAATTACTGGACGGAAAGCGATATATGTAACCTAACGACCACATCAGATAATTAATATCGTATGAGGTATTAAGAGTTTTTATTGCTTCCAGGAATAATTTATAGTTGAAATTAATTATGCGGAATACGTTATTTGCGCGCGCAAGTTAATTTAAGTATAGTCACGTGATTGGAAGTTTTGGTATTTATCTGTGGTGAAGCGGACCATCTTTTCTTTCTTACTCGACAAGAGCTACAGTTAAAATCAAGAAATTGGACGGAAGAGATTTACCCAACCTCCTCCCCGTTTTTGGACGCTATACATTATAGTTCATGTAGTGGGCGTTAGTAATACCCCCACCTTTTCTGTGCGAAATGTTATATGGGTATTAATTGATAATTTTTCTTGTTATAATTATTAAGAATTGGTTAGAACAATAAAGCGGCTACAGTATGTGCTAACAACCGGGCACATAGCCGTAATTATGCCATACAGGTTTTGACTGGTCTTATAGTATTCGGAGGACAGAAAATCGAGCTCAACCTGACAAACAGTTTGCCGATGGTGGTTTAAAATATGCCGGGAACGATAAAACGAAATAATAATAAAAAATGCACTTACCATGTTCAAGCGTTGTTATGCTTACAGTGGGACCAAGAGGTCCAAGTCCCTTCACAGTTCTAGCTTTAGTAGCGACATTATATGTAGTTGCTTCATTCAAGTTATCCAAAACAGACGCGGTTGTATCAGCACCAGTAACTGGCTTATTTAGATTGCAGTCAACATCTCCTGGAGTTGACGGAGCCTTATAACAAACTTCATACCCTGTTATTACTCCATTCTCATCATCGGCACTCAACTTCTCCCAGGCAATTTTTATTGAAGTGGGCGTGATATTGGTAATTGATGTAATATTTGGACCTTTCGATGGAACTACATAATTATGACAAACATTTAGTGAATAACATAGACCAATCTTGCGAACTAATTGTAAACACGTATTCAAAAGTTCGGATCGACACGGACAAACAACGGCCCTGAGTACAATAGCACACGTATCTATTTGACTGTTTACCAAGCCAAGGTAAGATATTTAAATTTTACTCTGTCTATTTAAAAAAATATTTCCTTGCATGCGACGTTTTTAATCATGTTTACTATAGTTTTTAATTATGTTTAAACGTTCACTAACTATTCAAAACAGTGCTTTCTTTGCATGCAAGCTTGTAGGCTACTACGTTGTTGAGTGAATTATATACTTAGTCTTAGTAAAGTAAGCCTGTTAAGTGCTGTCGTTGTTTTGACAGTGTCAGTGATATACTTGTTTACTTCGCTATAGCATATGGCTTGCTTTTATAATTATTCTTTACACGAACGTATATTAAGGTGGAATTAATATTTGAATGAAAGCAATTTATAAAATCAATAAATTTATCTTTTCTATTGTTTTTAAAAGGCTATTTAATGGAGGAAATAGAAAACATTTTTTCCGTGTTCCTATAGAGTTTATAGAAACACTTACCACGCAATTTCTCGTTTCTCCCAAACTTTCACGCGTGTTTCCATAACTCTGTAGAAACACGGAAAATGTTTTCTAATGCTTAATTATTGCGTTCCGCCATATTTTCGCAAGTTTCCGAACTTTTGAGCACATGTTTCCAATTACTGCAAAACAGCAAAATCGCCAAAGTGGTCAATTGTACTTACTGTACATTCTTCGTGCAGTAAGAATTCTCTGCACCACAGGGTAAAACCTCCTTTTGCTAGATTTTATTGAAATGTCAAACGTTTGTGGTTATATACACTTAACCTTTGGGAGTTGAAGCATGACAATGCATGAGTTGGTCACGGACTGTTTGGCTCTACAATCTTTTAATATTATAGAACGTTAATCGTTACTCCCTGGCTATTTATTTCGAGTCAGAATACGAACAATCGAGCAAGGAACAACGCTACGTTGTCGGAGTAAGAGTTCATGGGATGCACAAGTCAGCACAACGTGAATTTGGAGAAATTTTCTGTTCTGCTCAGGGCTATGAGACCAGTCAAGCGATTTGTTTGGGTGTTAAACCGCTTCAAGTTTGTCTACGGCTGTTCTACAGGGTGTATAAAAAAAAACGCAACCTCGGAATTTCCTAAGAAATCACTTTGCAATTCTTAAACATAAAAGATTTTAGACCCCTGGGAATTGAAATCGAATTGTTAATAGATCATATTACTGTTGTTGTGCACTAAATAAATGCATAAATTTTGCTTTATGCACTCGCGTGTGCAGTAATTTTGACAGTTGTGCTATTTTAAATTCCCAGGCGCCTAAAATCTTTTGTCTTTCAAAACAATGTCGATTTCTTGGGAAATTCCGAGGTTGCGGTTTTTTGATTCACCCTGTATACAATATGTGAACGTTTCTAATATCATATGTAACCAGCTGCGCATGTTGAAAGAGAGATTTCTGTTCAAACGGCGGGATAAGAGGTACTTGTATACAATGGTGAGTTATTACCCGAATACTGTTGTCTCCTTTCAGCTTCAGTGGTTGAAACAATCGGGAGATGTTAGTCCTAATCGAGGGCCTAACACTGTATCGTATACAAACAAATACCTGAATCAGTATCGTGCTTTCTACAAAATGTGAGAAGTCTTAAGGCCCTTGTGCCTGATGCAGATTCGAATGAACGCAAATTTTCTATTTTGCGAGATATTGTTTACGGGTAAGATTTAGACATAATTTGTCTTACCAAAATCTGATTGACTGAAGCCGTTTACAGCGAAGAAATTATACCAACTGGATATAGTTTGTTTCGTTGCGACAGGAAAAATCGTATTGGTGGGGGAGTCTTGACTGCAGTGAAATTCAATTTATCATCTCGTCAAATCGAAACCAACTTTAACTCATTAGAGTGTGTGCTTATTGAAATTACCTTTACTCCACAACAAACTGTCCTTCTGATTAACTCTTTTCGGCCTCCTTGTGACCGTGATTTTATACAAAATTTTATCTGTATGATAAAAGTACTTAACTTAGATCATTATTGGTGTACTATCACTGTCGGGGACTTTAATTTCCCTGAGATTAATTGGATTGAAGGATCTGGTTTAACAAATTCAACAATTATGATGAGCAGAAATTTTCAGACTTTTTAACGGCCACTTCCTATTTCAACTTGTAAGTCAGCCTACTAGGAAAACAAATATATGGGATCTTGTAATTACAAATTTGCCATCTATTGCGTCTTCCGTTGAATCTGGGCCTTGTTTTGTCGAAGCAGGATTGCCGTGGAACCATTACCCGGTTATATTTGATATCCACATTAAGTTGAAGCTAAAAGTTTCACATTGTAAACAACGTTCTAACTTTAATGAAGCTGACTTCAAAAGCCTGAATAATGAGCTATTGTTATTGCCTCTTAGTGCAGGTGTTAATGACATAAAGTCCCAGGAGGAGTTTGACGAAGCGTGGTCTCAATAGAGCGAGCTAGTTTTTTCTGCGGTGGACTGCGCATTCCTAAGGTTAATCGACGCGGAGTTAATAAACCACCATGGATTACTAAGGAACTCGCAAAAGCAATAAACAAAAAGAAAACCTTGTGGAAACGGGTTAAGAGGTCTGACAGCGAGCAATTAAAAGAAAAGTTCCGTAGACTTAGACAATCTATTAAGAATTGGATAAGGCAAGAAAGGAGAACTTATTTACATAATATTGCTAAAAATGTGTTCACAAAACCGAAACAATTTTGGTCATATTTCACTTTTAAGAACAAAAGGAAGCCTGACCCAAACAGAGTGCTGTATAAGGGGAAGTGGTTATCTGATGATAGGGCGCGTGCAGAGGCTTTCAATAAATATTTTCAGAACACGTTCAAGGATCATTCAAGTTGTATTTCACCTGAGTTATGCCCAATCCATCCCGACATTTCAATGCCACTTGAAACAATCCAAGTCTCGTGTGAGGAGGTCTTTTCGATTTTCTCCTCGTTGAATGTTGCTAAGGCGACAGGACCAGACAACTTACCTGCCATCATTCTCAAAAATTGTGCTGACGCGCTAGCTCCGTCACTTACTGTATTTTTTAATGCTTCTTTCAGCACTGGACTTTACCCTACTGAATGGAAACAAGCAAATAGTTCTCCAATTTATAAGAAAGGCAATCGTTCAGAGGTCGAAAACTACAGACAGGTTTCTCTTTTACCGATTGTTTCGAAAGTGCAGGAAAGGTGTGTGGCCAAAAGATTGGTGTCGCATGTTTCTGCGGTTTTGCATCCCAGGCAGTTCGGTTTTCGACATGGATTTTCCTGTACAAGTCAGTTAACTGAGGTGTTTTATGATATCTGCAGCAGATCGGATAAGAGTTTTGAGATTGACTTTGTATATCTGGACTTCGCCAAGGCCTTTGACTGTTTGTCATGCCAGATTATTATGGAAATTGCAGAGTTATGGTGTCAAGACTACAGTTTTGAATTGGTTTAAGAACTATCTAACCGGAAGGAGACAACGAGTGGTTATAAATGGGGCCTGCTCCTCGTGGGGTGAAGTTAGGTCTGGTGTACCCCAGGGTTCAATATTGGGCCCTGTGTTGTTCCTTCTATATGTCAATGATATGCCTGATATTGTGCGAAATTCTAACATCGTTATTTTTGCAGATGATTCCAAGTGCTACAAAACTGTTAACTCTTCGTTGGATGTAATTGCATTGCAGGAGGATTTGAATGCCCTAAGTCAATGGTCTGTTGCGAATTACTTGGAAATGATTGAGCTTTGATCGAAAGTATTATATGTATATATGCGACGTCTCTCTTGGAACATGCATATTGATTCACTATCGGCCAAATCTAACAAGATGCTCGGGTTCCTGAGGCGTAACTGTACTAAAGATTTGTCTACAAAAGCTATAAAATCGCCATATATTGCTCTTGTGAGGTCGCATTTAGGATACTGTAGTCAGTTGTGAGCACCCCAGTGTGTCATCCGCAACATAACCCAGATAGAATATGTTGTTTGTAAAGACCCCAATATTAGTTATAAGGATCGTCTTGTCTCTTTGAACTGATTTCCAATTAACTATTGGCTGGAATATCTAGATCTTGTTTTTTTCTATAAATGTATGGCCAATTTATTTTAATGTCAATCTAGACAATTATTTGTCTTTTTGTACGGGTCGCACCAGAAGAACGCATTCTGGGTTATACGTGAGAACCAATTTAATACCGAGAACATCAACATTCAGGGACACTTTCTTTGTTAAGATTGTAAGCATGTGGAATGCCATACCAGACGGTATTAAATCTTCTATGACTCTAATAATTTTTAAACAGAAACTTCAGAACTTATACTTTGAACGATTAAGAATGGTCATTGATCACGATAACATTCGAACGTATAAACTTATTTGTGTTAAATGTCGTAGTATTAATACTTTAACTCCATGTGCATGTTAAAGTTAGCATTTTTACCTATATTATTTTTACTTATAGTTATTATTATTATTACGTTTTTTTTGGTATATAGCCTTGTAGGAGACTACGAGTCCTTTTGCTCATTATACCTTGTAATTATGTATTGCTAAATCATTGAAATCAAAAATCAAAATCAGACCTTTCTATCAGATTTATTGTTCCTTAATGCTTCAAGGGGGTTAGGAACGCCGGAACTGGGGGGGGGGG